TTCCTGAAAGTTTCTCTCAATGAACCGTTCAAGCTAACCGTTATCTCTGAGGACGTCCTTGTTAGTTCTGCATTTACCACATTGTCAGAGCAGATCTTTCGCGCTCGTGATGTGAGACTGAATTAAATTTATCTTTTGTCTGAGTGGGACGAAGCTGTAAAAGTGTGTATGTTGTCCCGTCCAACTTGTTTTTCTATTTATTCGATGCTATAAGGGACCATCATCCTTTCCGAGGAGTGTCACGTCTAGGAAGGCCAGTTTGTCATTTTCTTCTGTTTCCAACGTGAACTGAATTGATTCGTGAGCTTCATCGAATCTTTGGAGCAATCCTGTCGTGTTCCTACCTTTCGGTGTGAGACAGAATATGTCGTCCACGTAGCGACAGTATAGACTCTTTTGCTCTATTTCTCGCTTCAATGTTTTACTTTCTAATTTGGCCATAAATATGTCTGCTAACAATGGGCCTAATGGGGAACCCATGGTCACTCAGTCTATTTGACATTATAATTTTCCATCAAATAGAAATTGAACATTGCATGTCCATATCAGTGGTATCTCCGTTCGTTCGCATTCCTAAGTGTATTTGTTCAGTTTCAATGTGGTGACAGAGGAAGTCGATGGCTTCTTTTGGTGGTACAAGGACGTTACATCTAAGGAAAACGTTTGATCACTCTTTACGTTCCGCTGGCGGATAATGTTCACAAACTCAAATGTCTCGTAGGCTTTATTTTGCGAGCTTTGTGCACACTGGTTCGAGAATTCCTACGAGCCATTGGGCAGTCTGGTGGTACCGTGAGTTGACCGTAGACTTGGTCTTAATGGTATGCCAGTCTTATGATCTTTGGGTAACCCGTAAAGGCGTGGAATGGCTGATCCAGACGGTTTTATTGCGTCGAACACGGATTGGTTTATATACCCTTGGTCCTTGAATGATTTGAGATCATTCACTATTTTTTCTTTATATGTACTGTTTTACCGTTTTCTTCAGATCCATTGTTACATTTCTTCTTATAGGACAATAGCTCGAACATATTCTTGATGTAATCGCATCTATTCATCAGAACAACTCCTGATCCTTTATTTGGTCTGCTTATTATAATGTCTTTACATTTCTGGATCTCTTTAAGCGCCTCCAGATGTTTCCGTGTTAGTGGCCCTCAGGTATTGGGTGTTTGCTTGCAGCATTGGTAGCAACAGTCAACCAGCATGGCTTGACATTTTCTATAGCTTTCGCAAGTCAAGTTGTCCCAGTATCATATCAAGATGTCCGGGAATCATTTCAAGTTGACTGATCATTACTTCAAGATGTCTAGCGATTATTTCAAGATGTCCGGGAATCAGTTAAGCACCGGTGAGGTCAACGCGACAGCTTGAAATAATCCGAAGACATCTTGAAATGGTACGGGGACAACTTGAAATAATGATCAGTCAACGTGAAATGATCCCCGGACGTCTTGAAATAATCCGAGGACATCCTGATATGATACTGGGACAACTTGACTTGCAAAAGGTATAGTTCATTCGAAGATATAGGTACTAAGTTATACGTTTGTGCGAACAGGTTTCCGAACTGGACCCCAACTGCCAACTGGCGTTTCTTCCGACGAGGATAACAAAACTTCCCACCGAGGGATAGGGCTTCGGTAAGAATGGGACTTACTTTCATATATGTGTTATGCACGTATAAACTTTCCGGTTAGGATGGAAAATTTGGCTGTAGGATGCTCGATCATCAAATTAGATCAGAATCCGCCTTCAGCGTAATCTATCGTGTGCCCCTCAACCCCTCTAAAGCAGTGCGCTTACACACACTAGCCACCGCTGAAGCGATGGGCATTCGCCTGTTCGCACCAGAACTATGTTCACAAAAGCGACTGGTTCAAGATCTCCACTCAACCTGGTCCCGAATTGATCATAAACATCATCACCACCACCACCATCGCCACTCTAATCATAATCAATCTCACNCCGCTGAAGCGATGGGCATTCGCCTGTTCGCACCAGAACTATGTTCACAAAAGCGACGGAAAAATAGGGTATACCATAACGAATCATCCACCTTCTGCCGATATCATGGGGAAATTTCTTTCGTTCTTGTCGTTTTTTTATGTTTTAACGAAAGTTGGACCCGTGCATGGGTGAAATACATCCCAATGAATTGTGTTCCAGTCGGTTGCCATTGTATTCATCCCACAAAGTCTAGTTCTGTTGAAAGTAATCGATTTCTTTGCTTATTTCTAGTACAGATTGTGGTTGCACTAGCGAAGTCAGGCAGTCACTACCGAATTACGAGAATAACCAGTGTCACCAAAGATTTTACGTTTACTATTGACAGAATAACTGTAAAATGATAAGCAATTTGGAAATTTCCATGGCAAAGGTAAATCAATTGTGTTGGAGGTTTGTTCAAGCTTCAACACGGCGTAAACACTATTCACCGACCGATTGTTTCAGCTGACTCACTTCATAGGACGACATGCAAGACTCAGGGGATATGCGCTTCAATTGGACTACATTAGTTCAAGAATGGCAAATTTATCAACTGTTCTACGGTTGACTACACACGACACGAACTGCATTCAACCGACCCCATTTTCGCAAGAATCTCTTCTAGTATGCTTATACATGATAACGTGAGTCAACATGTATATTGTTAATATCTCATCACTATCGTTTGGACGCAATAGTACACTTGAACCTTGACTTAGTCGACCCAGTTTATCCCGTTTATTTAGTCCGAGGGAAGTAAAATGTTTAGGGCACATTGCTCGAAAACCGACGGACCACTTCATCCCACAGTCCAATAGTTGAATGAAATAAGTCACAGTGACTAAAGTTCACGCATTTCATTGGATCAAAAATCATTTTTGGGACATCGGTCAGAAGAAAACAGAAAATCGATTATCATTAGTTGTATCAGGAGAAATACTCAACTGCAGAGACTCAGGTACGATTGTAAGCAAGATTATTAAAGGTTTTGTCTGCCATTCTATCGCCAAATGTTGTCCCAGGAGACGCTTCCAAAAAATGCCACTGAAATTGCATGGCTGTGCGAGCGTTTATTGGAAGCGACAGAAAATGGCGGTAAATGGTGGAAAAGTGTGCTATATTTTCCGGGTTGTGCACAGTTTAGATTTTCCTCAAACTGAAAGGCGAGATTACCAATGGAGCAAATAGTCCAATCAGATTTCAGTATTGTACCCGTTATCTTTTTTCACCATTGCAGTAGCATCGGGAAAACACTGGCAACTTCCCACAGCAGCGATTGGTTTAAATCCAATTTCCTTTGATCTTTCGGAAAGTTTTGGGGAAATCTAGGCTTAGCTTGATACCAAAAGATGTTTTTATTCAGGAAAGGTTCACACGGTTCCGATAAAGTCATAATTTTATTCACGGAACTGTCACGGAGACTCTTGGAGAAAATATATCTTCAAGAGTCCACACTGGAAATACACATTCCTGGCGGTACGCTGATCCTAACTTTATCCGATGCCCGCCATCGCTTCTTTCTTTCTTTCTTCTTTCTTCAGTGTCACCGTAACATTTTTTTTTCGTCCATGACCCATCGAAGTATCTGAGTAACCTAGAATTTCTTCTCAGTGAACTCCCTTATGACATTGGCCATTTTAAATACACACCCTTGATTTCCCGACGTTGATCGGCGTGGACCCCCTGTCCCACGCCGATTTCGAGCCCCGCCATTTTAAGGCGTCGCAATGCCTCATGACGGTCTGGCGAAGTGTAGCATCCCGAGATCAGGACACCGTTGGCGGAGATCGACTCCGTTATCTCCGGACCTCTTTAAACCGCTTTCAATACCACCCGTGCGCGACCCTTCAGAAACACCGAGAGGATCAACAAATTTGAACGAGCTCTGCCACGTCCTCGAACTCTTCTAGGAAGATTCGAACATGTCCAGGCCACGACACCTTCATCCTGTTCAATGCGTCAAGTGTTTTAAATCCAAGAGGTCAGTGTCGGACTGAGGAGATTCATTACACAGTTGACTGAAACGACGGTGACGTGTTCGTGAGCGCGGGTCCTGTGCTCACAACTGAATGTTCCAAAATCTTGTCGTCGGTTTATATGAGGATTTTTCCGAGCTATATGCAATACTCGTCTTTGTTTTCAATCATTCGGTCCGAAGATGCACGATAAAGGCGTTTGGCATCTTCCACGAACATAATCCCGGAGAAAATTCGATTTTTTAATTTGAAGTTTAAATCCGTATATGAGCCAAATATGGGATATTGATGAGATAAATAATAATAATAATAATAATAATAATAATAATAATAATATGGTACACAAGCGCACTAATGTTCAGGATCTCACGAATGGGTGTTCCACAGAAACCACTTAAAAATGGGACTGCACGAAATGCATTTCCCACCTTATGTAGAACCGATCTTAACCCACGCGGAATTATTTATTCAGCACTGTGAATTTCATTACTATATTGCATTAAAAAAGGATCGAAGCAGAATAGTTTATTTGGATCAATAAAGTCGTAGTTAGCAAAACGCGAGGGAAATGTGAAATTTGTTGCTTCTATTGGTCGTTGTAAACAAGACGAGGCAATCATCTAGACCACATTCCTAACGAATGCCCAAATGAAGACAATTCACTGGAAATGATTAAAACCTCATGGCTGTGTCGTGATAACTCAGTTGATTAGCGTATTTCTATTTTTGCTAGTAGACTGGGTCAGTATCGATCCGTCATGTATACTGACTCATGCCTACAAATTCGACCTCTTGTCTCGGATGCCGACCGCACATTCAAATTGTCGGCTGTTGCCGTTTGCATCAGCTCAGGATCAACCAATCAACATCGCAGCGTGTGGAACGCCAATGATAGTCGGGTCGGTCACATGACTATCACAGAACGAACGACTCGAACTTTCAGTTCTAAACGGGTTGTTCCCACAAGTGGTCGGTTTTTTATGTTTTCTGCCGCGCCCGGGTAGAACTAGAGAAACCATGGTTGGGTCAGAATTTATGGACTATCTTAACAAACTCCAAATTGCTACCTACGTCGGAGTGGAAGATGTTGCGGACAAATTTAATTTTCTTATCACAGTTCTTATACTTCTCCTCTGTACAACCGTGGTCACGGTCAAACAGTATATGATGAAGCCCATTTCGTGTTATATGGCCACGGATTTGGGTGGCCGAAATCTTTTGGATTATGTGGAGAATTACTGTTGGGTACAAGGCACGGTGCCGATATCCTATAACGGACGTGTTCCCGAAACAGATGAGGGCTGGAAGAAGTTGGAGGAGCATAAACTTTGTAAGTTCGTATTTTCTGAATGTTTACACTAATTCGTGATGTGATTTTTCAAAGATAGTTGTTCTTTTTTGTAGGGTAGCATTTTGCGTTTGGTTAGATATAATACAAAATTGTAACAGAACAAACAATGATTTAATTATTTTTATTTTGAGTAACAAAGCAAAGACGATTTTCGAGGTTACGGTTGAGAGTGCTCGGTGGATCAACCTCTGCAATAAAAAATAATTTGCATTTCATTGGTGAACATTGTTAAACATAACAGAAGGATTGGAAACCCGTAAACAGAAGATAAAATGTGGTCAGGAATTCAGGGGAAAACATTCACAGATGATACTGGTCTAAAGTGAACTGGGGCAGATACGGATGTCCCACGATTTTGATGTACCGGCATCCGGCGAAAGTCACATTATACCGGTGACTGTCCTGG